AGCTGGGCGATATCTCAAATGTGAAAGCGTTGCATGTGCATGCCGTGCGCGTCGCATGGCGCTTTTAACCTGCGCCATTCGCACACCGTGCGGGACGCGTTGCGCTGCAGCGCAGTCAAACAGAGTGCGAATGGTGGTCGCACTAAATCGATGGAATTGGCAACTGCCCGTCGCCATTTGGGGAAGGCCTAGCTCTTCTTGTCCCTAGCCTTGCCCTTAGGCTTGGCATCCCCCTCCGAGAGCTTGACCCTCATTGCAGACTGCAAAGGCACATGGTGCGCCTTGGTTTTATAAACGAGCAATTTGTCGAACTGCTGCAAGGTCTTGGTATTCTTGTAAGCTTTGAAACTGATATGGGCGGTGCTCTGTTGAACGAGGGCCACGTTGGCAAGGTCCTCTTTGTCCGTCTCCCGAACCCACCAATAAGGAATGAAGAAGACATCTTCTGATTCGGCCTTCTGCTGATCGGTCGCCCTCGTCGGGGGCGATACGCACAGCACTGCGGACCCGCACTTGACCTGGACCGCGCCCTGCGACGGCTCTGCCTTGATCTTGTTCAGCTCAGAGAACGGGGCAAGGACGAGCTTGCCCTTCTCGATCTTCTGGGCAGCGACGACGACGCTGGGGGTCAGGCCGTATTGCAACATCGTGCCACCATTGGCAGTCAACTCGAAATCTTTGAGGGCTTTGAACACAGTGCAACGCGCCTCATCCAACTTCATCAGATGATGCGCCGAAGCGCACGTCACTGCAGACATCGGCACTGCAAAGGGCACGCTGCCCTTGTACGACGCCCACTCCTTCAAGAAGAGCGCGTGGGCGACCTTCACGTCAAACGTTGGCTCAGTAAATGCAGTCAGCTGCCCCATGGTTACTTCGGCTGAACTGATGGACGCAATCTTGCACAGCCCCGCATTCGCGCTCACGGCGCGCTCAAACACGACGCTCCCAACAGTGAAACCTTTGGTTGCCAAGATGCGCTCTGGGTTGCGCAGGTCCTCTTCGGTCATCACGACCATCCTGTCATCTGTAGAATGCGGCTCGCTGGCTTCAAGGGGCGCATGAGGTTTCCACTCGCCGTCTGTGTCTATGACAACACCGCAGCCAGACATGCTGGCTGCCTCCGATACGAAGTCTGAGATAATCGGAACCTGGCTCTCATACACGACGCCCCCTGGCCCTTGCTTGCCCTTCCCGGCTAAGCGCACAATTGAACGAGTGAAGAACTTCCCAACCAGCATGTCATGCTGCTCTAGATCGATGTGGCCGCTGTCGCGCAGGGAGCCTGCGATGCGATAACATTTGGAAAGGTCCCTGTCGAGCGCAATCGCTTTGTCCTTGACGGATTTGCCTTTCAACCTCTCAACGTCGCTGGGGACCAATAGCTTCGCCACGCCGTCCGACTGCTTATCGGAAGCAAGGTTCGCAAGGATGCTTGCGATGCGAATGAATACGCACGGCTCGAGATCACCGAAATGGACGTCGACAACTGACGCAACGAAATCCTGCCCGAGCTTCCTGTTAGCACCGCACATCTTGCCAAACCGATCAATGAACTTAACCAACGGGACGCCCGATCCCCCGCCGCAGTGCGTTGCGAGCTTGCCAATCTTATCAATGTAGTCCTCTCGGCGGACACTCATCCCCCCCATGCAGATGCTGCGCGGCACAGGCGCGCGCGGCCACAGCGCAGACTGCATGCAAGACGCATGTCGGATAAACGCAATCGGCAACGCGTTGCTGGCGTTTCAACGCGCCGTGGCCGCGCCCGCGTGCGCCGTGCGCATTTGCAAGGCATGCATTCCCGAGTAGCCTGCCTGGCACGGAGGCTGGCTCATCTTCACTGCATCAACGCAGTCGCCGAAAGAAGACCCAGGTGGCATCAGTTCTGCAAATTCTGCAATGCTCACGCACACTTCGAGCTCCGACATCAAACTGGCAACGTTGTTGCTCGCGTTGAGGGCACGCTGTGCCAAATCTGGAAGGTGCGGCCACGTGATTTCTGCCTGCCACGGCAGGACGGTCCAACGCCAGCCCTTCTTGAGGGCGTCGTGGAAACGCACGTCCTTGGACAACGTCTCGGCGTTCATCTTCCGACTAGTCGGGTCGGCGAGGGTCGGTTCAGGGGTGGAACAACCCGCCTTCACTGCCTTGAAAAACTGCGTGGTGTGGCCCGTCCCCACCGAGCAGAACCTCTCCGCGCCCGTCATCGGCGCCAGCATGCCCTTGCTGGACGAGATCAACTTTTGATTGAATGCAACTTGGGACGACCTCATCGGATCCGTGGGCATGCGCTCGAACGCAACAGCCTTCTCGAGCTCTGCAGGGTCAACGCCGATTTTGCTGAGCATGGCGCCAACCCTGTGGACGTTGTAGGCGTTCACGCCAAGACCAGAACGATTCGAGGGATGGATCATGAATTCGTCAGCCTCGGCGACGATCTGCTTGGCGACCTTATCCTTCAAAAGGCGGTCGACGCAATCCTTCCAAGCTGTGATCGGGGCAAGCTTGCCATCGCGATGCATCTCGATGCGCCCGCTAATGAAATCCACCAGCTCCCGCGGATAGAAATTCTGCATCGTGCGCACTGGAAATGCAGCAGCTGCAGAAGAGAGAGGCGAGCTCGAGCCTGACACGCCTACACATCGCCACTGCAAGTCCCAATGCTGCGACAGCAATCTTTTTTTGATATATAATTTGGTCTCACTTGAAATAATGCCACGCGTTGTACCGAATGCATGCATGATGCATGAAAAAACGAATTGCGACGCATAGTGGAGAATGCAGTTGCTGCAAACGCGGACCAAACTTAATCGCGGAGTCGCTCGTCGAGCGTGCAATTGCCACTTGGCACAGAATCCAGCGACTGATGCGTCTTCACGCATTTGAAATATTCAATTCATAATTGCCCCGTGGGCAACGTTTGAAAATCAAAAAGGAGCAATGCGGGCCCCACCCGCATACAAAAATGTGAAGTGGCATTCTGACTTTAACATTGTGCAAATCCCTCTTCAACCATCAACAAAATGTCGCTGCGTCAAGTTGCAACTCGGCCTAAGTCAAGATAAGATAAGACAAGTGCTGGCCAACTGATGCAAATGTTATGCGACTTGCTAATGCAGCTACGTAAGATATCTGATCTTGCAAACGCTTAACCGACTTGCAACTATGTTGCAGCTACCTTACAACTACCTTACAACTACATTGCAAGTACCTTACAACCCAACCCAACCCCCAGGTTCACCACAGCAGAGGAGCCCAGAGCGGCCTCCGGCACCGTTTCCGGACGGATCCGTTGGATCCGCTGGATCCGGTGACGAATCCCAAACCGGCGCCCTCGCCTGAGACATCCTCACAAAACGGGCCCCGGGGGGGATGCCCAGAGGAGCCCAGAGCGGCCTCCGGCACCGTTTCCGGACGGATCCGCTGGATCCGCTGGATCCGGTGACGAATCCCAAACCGGCGCCCTCGCCTGAGACATCCTCACAAAACGGGCCCCGGGGGGGATGCCCAGAGGAGCCCAGAGCGGCCTCCGGCACCGTTTCCGGACGGATCCGCTGGATCCGCTGGATCCGGTGACGAATCCCAAACCGGCGCCCTCGCCTGAGACATCCTCACAAAACGGGCCCCGGGGGGGATGCCCAGAGGAGCCCAGAGCGGCCTCCGGCACCGTTTCCGGACGGATCCGCTGGATCCGCTGGATCCGCTGGATCCGGTGACGAATCCCAAACCGGCGCCCTCGCCTGAGACATCCTCACAAAACGGGCCCCGGGGGGGATGCCCAGAGGAGCCCAGAGCGGCCTCCGGCACCGTTTCCGGACGGATCCGCTGGATCCGCTGGATCCGGTGACGAATCCCAAACCGGCGCCCTCGCCTGAGACATCCTCACAAAACGGGCCCCGGGGGGGATGCCCAGAGGAGCCCAGAGCGGCCTCCGGCACCGTTTCCGGACGGATCCGCCGCTGGATCCGCTGGATCCGGTGACGAATCCCAAACCGGCGCCCTCGCCTGAGACATCCTCACAAAACGGGCCCCGGGGGGGATGCCCAGAGGAGCCCAGAGCGGCCTCCGGCACCGTTTCCGGACGGATCCGCTGGATCCGCTGGATCCGGTGACGAATCCCAAACCGGCGCCCTCGCCTGAGACATCCTCACAAAACGGGCCCCGGGGGGGATGCCCAGAGGAGCCCAGAGCGGCCTCCGGCACCGTTTCCGGACGGATCCGCTGGATCCGCTGGATCCGGTGACGACGAATCCCAAACCGGCGCCCTCGCCTGAGACATCCTCACAAAACGGGCCCCGGGGGGGATGCCCAGAGGAGCCCAGAGCGGCCTCCGGCACCGTTTCCGGACGGATCCGCTGGATCCGCTGGATCCGGTGACGAATCCCAAACCGGCGCCCTCGCCTGAGACATCCTCACAAAACGGGCCCCGGGGGGGATGCCCAGAGGAGCCCAGAGCGGCCTCCGGCACCGTTTCCGGACGGATCCGCTGGATCCGCTGGATCCGGTGACGAATCCCAAACCGGCGCCCTCGCCTGAGACATCCTCACAAAACGGGCCCCGGGGGGGATGCCCAGAGGAGCCCACTTCGCGGGCCGTGGCGCTTGTCCTACATATATCATAACATATAAGCTATAGGAGTGCACTTATACGTTGCCCATGTGATGGTATATGTGGTATATCTGGGGCCAACAATACATATAAGTGGGGGGGAACTTATACCCAGCTTACAATACAAAGTAAATACTTACTCGTTGACTTGCACGACTTAAGTCTAAGTCTATACTCGCACTTAGTAACTAGCGCGCGCCACTTAGCTTTTACGCACTGACACTTGCTCGGGAGATAGCAATACTTAGGTTCTACATAGGTTTTACTTAGACAGCAACACACCAATAACCAACACTAGCAACAACACAACCAAACCATAACAACACTTACTGCAGCCGTTTCATGAGCAGCAGGCGCCGCCCTCTTTCTGAACGCCGAATTTGGCAACCATGATCGCACATGATTCCCAGACCTTCGTGCGCACGCAGGCTGCGTTGAAGTACGTTCGGACCAACATAGAGGCTGGTGTCCCGCGTGAGGCGGTCGCTGCGGCCGCTCAAGGTGCGTTGACTCGACTGTTCGCGTCTGTTCCTTCGCTCGACTTCTCCGAGGCTGGCCCCATCATCGAAGCAATCAACAACAGTGATCTGGATGGCGAGATGAAGACTGGCTTGATCGACCTTGTGAACAGCAAGGTTGGGGGCTCTCTCAGCGGCGGCGGCCGTCGGACAGACAACCAGGTAAACTACTACGTGCAGCGCCAGCTCACCACCGACGACTGGAACAAGCTCATGGATAAGAACGTCTCGGTCCAGCTGAAAATTTTAACGGTTGTCAACCGTATGGAGTCGATCGGTTGCGTGTTCCCGTCCGAGCACACGATGACTCACATCGTGGGATTGATCACTCTGGCTTCGTCACCGCCTGGGGCCCGTGACATTGGGGTCTTGCTGCAGAACGCGTGGCAGATGTTGCAGGACGTCAAATTGGCCTTCAGACGCACTCGCACTCGGGTCAGGTTGCCGCACCACGGAGCCATCGCCGAGTACCCTTCGAACGTGGACTCGATGAGCACGAGCCACGTGGACATGTACAAGAGGGCCTACTCCTCAGAAGGACCAGCGCCCTGCCGCGTCGACGAGACGCTGCTCTGCGAGCTGAGGCACGGGGGGCGGCACCCCTCCCCAGCAATCTTTGCAAATCAACAAATGACGCCATTGAGGGTCTGTAGTTTGTTTCACGTTCGACTTTCCATTGTGTTGTTTTTTGTTTTTTCAGCTTCTTTCACGTTCGACGTTCCTTTTTTTATATTTTTTTCAGCTGGGGAGGGGTGGCGCCCATGACAGGCAGCGGCTCCCAGCGCGCAGGACCCACCACACGGTGGCGACGCCGATCAAGACGTCGTGCCGCGGCCCCCGCAGCATGCCAGAGATCCACGGCGTGCCAGGCTTCGCGTGGCTGCCCGTGGGCAACGCCGCTGCGCAGATGGCTAAGCATGCTGCTGAGGAGGCCCTTGCGCGTGCAGGGCCACTTGCCTTGATGGACGGGCCTGCGCCCGCGGCACCTGTGCTTGCGGCGCCAGGTCCGGAACCGCCTGCGGCTGCAGGCGCCGCAGCAGCTACGGCGGCGTGTGAGCCCGCGCCTGCAGCGGGCTCAGGCGGCGCCATCGAGAAGGGCAAGAGCGTCGACGACATCATCGATGGCCTGGCGAAGCACGTCAAGAAGAAGGTCCCCGAGCTGGTGCGGCGCAAGCCAGCAGCGGCTCAGGCCAAGCCCACTCCGAAGAAGGAGACGTCGACACCCATGAAAAAAATTAAGAAGAAGGCGGCCAGCAGTGCGAAATCCAAGAAGGCGGCGACCATCGACACCAAGCAGCTCCAGAAGCACCTCAAGCAGTTCCCCTTCCCAGGCATCCCAAAGGCCCCAATGGAGCCCGTGAGGGCGGGCAACTACGCCATCTACACTGACCGCACCAAGCGGGCGTGGCGCGTCAAGGAGAACAACGTCAGGACGGACAAGGCCTTCGGCTGGGGCGTGGACTGCGAGGGGTCGTGGCGCCGTGCGATCCACTACATCTTCGCGTGATCGGTAGGCTCGCCACCGTGCATGCGAGGCGTGCAAACTGAGGCAGGCGACCTCAGAGAGTGATGCAGGGGGGGGAGGGGTAGTAACAAAACCTACTGAGGAAACAGAGTGGGCATGGGCAGTAGTTAGATATGCGAGTTAACGATTTTGTAGAGAGCTCTCGGCGATCCCTTCAGATCTGCGGCCGAGCTCAAGGGGGAGGTGCACATGTACTGTGCAGCCCAACGGACCCTCGGGGAGGGGTCGCGCAGCGTCGGTGTCGAAATAAATCCTTGAGCCTGAAAGGGAGGGGGCCAGCTTACATTGCCCCCATCCCCCTCCCCGTCCTCCCCCTCGTCCTCCCCCTGCTCCTCCCCCCATCCGACCTTCCTCCTACCCCTCCTCCTCCTTCTCCTCCTCCTCCTCCTCCTCCTCCTCATCATCCTTCTTCTTCTCTCTCGCAGTTCATTTTCTATATGGTTTTACGACGTGAGCGCTTCGCGCGGGGGGGGCACCCTTCCTCCTCCTCCTCCTCCTCCTCCTCCCCCTCCTCCTCAAGATTTTGCCCCGCCAGATGTTGTTTGCCGCGGTCTCTCAGGGAGTTTGCCCCGCCAGATGTCGCCCCCCGCGGTCTCTGAGGGAGTTTGCCCCGCCAGAGTTCGCTCCCCGAAGATTGGCGCCTGGGGAGTTTGGCAACTGAAAAAATGGAGGTTCATCAATTCCATTGCGTTTTCAAGTTAGCGGGCGCGGTCAGGGAGGAGGAGGAGGAGGAGGAGGAGGAGAAGGAAGAGGAGGAGGAGGAGGAGGAGAAGGAGAAGGGCAGGAGGAGGAGGAGGATGAGGATGATGAGGAGGAGGAGGAGGAGGAGGAAGGAGGACGGCGTGATTTCAGGGGCCCTCAGAAATCACATCGACTCGGGCGGGGGGAGCACGAACACACCTCGAACTACGGAAAACGGAAACCGACCACTTTGGGACGAAAGGGGTCGGTTTAGGGGAAGAGGAGGCGGAGGCGGAGGAGGAGGAGGAGGAGGAGGAGGAGAAGGAGAGGGAGGAGGAGGAGGAGAAGGAGGATACACGTCGTAAACTCAAGTTGGAAGCTCGTCCCTGACTCGACTCGCGCCGAATACAGCAACCGATTCGGCTCAAGTCGGAGGCTCGTCCCCGATCGTTTCGGCAACGACAGTTTCGGCACCGACCGTTGCGATGGTGAGCAAGAGGCCTGCGGCAGCTCCTGCGCGCCTGGCAGAGGATGAACCTGTCCCCCGCCCTCCAGCGGAGCTGGAGGCCAGCCTCGACGCCGCCATGGAGGCGGCAGTTGCAGTTTTGGACGTCAAGGAGGAGCAGGAGGAGCCCGACGAGGGATGCGACGAGGAGGACGCCACCGCGGGCTTCGGCGACGCGGCCTCCACGGCCGACGAGACTGAGACCTCGAAGCTGTGCTGCAGCTGCAACCAGTTCTGGCACGTCGACTTCATGAAGGCCGTCAACAAGACTAAGAACCAGCTACGCTGCACTGGGTGCCACAACGCGCGCAGCAGGATCAACCGCATGAAAAAGGGCATGGTCATGGACTCGCTCACGTCGCTCGAACCCGCGGACCGCCACGACTTCATGCGCAAGGCCCACGGAGCATTGGGGAACGACTTGTGCGCCCTCATCAAGGACACGATCACAGTCATGAAGACGAGGAGGATCACTTCTAGCATGAGTATCGGTGGGCCTTTCGAACCCCTGGAGGAGGCCCAGAAGAGGTATGCTTCGAACCCTGACATGTGGAAGAGTATAGAACAGAACGCCCAGCGGATCAAGTGCCCCATCAGGAACTGCACCATGATCCAGATCCCGACTTACGAATCGAAGACCGAGAAGGAGACGATCGTGGAGGAGTCGCGCAAGCGCGAGGCGGAGACCGAGCTGCAGTCCAAGAAGGCGAAGAAGGCCAAGCCTGACGATGCGGCAGCTGACCCGAACCAGATCAAGAGTATCACCTCATCCCAAAAGAAGAAGCTCGAGAGTCTGCGCGCCAAGCTGCAGGATATCGGAGAGCGAACCACTGAGGCGAAAGAGCAGGCCGAGAGCCCGCAGGGCTCAGAGAACGTGCCCAAGCACTTCGTCACCAAGCTCGCGAACAGCCTAAGCAAGATCGAGGAGACGAGCAAGCTCATCAAGGATACCATCGAGGGTGGCCAGGCCCCTAAGTTTGTCTACACAAAGCTGAGCAACGATGTGACGGAGGTGGTCAACAAAGCATCTACCATAATCTCGCAGGTGGAGCTCCTCTTCCAGCAGGCCACTGAGGACTGATCTGTGGCCTCCTGATGTTGGCTCTAGGTGCGACTCCAGTTGTCTACAACAGTCCCTTAAACAAAACAACATTGTGTGAAAATCGCTGCCCCGAACACCAGACTTGGAAATCGGGCCCAGGACCTGGGGAGAGGATGCCGAGAGATGCAGTCTGGAATCGCATGTGCTAGTTGCGCGCGCAGCCCTCTCCCTGCAGCTATAGGCGCCTGCGTTCCAGCCTAGGCGCTGCTACGCGATAGCCCGTCATGAGTGGCGGGATAGGGGATGCTTGGGTCAGTCTGGCGGTAGGGTCGAGCTTGAGGTGGCGAGAGTTTCGGCAACTGGTTACGTGAAGAACAGCTTGAGTAAGTTGGCTTCTTGGGGGGAAATGGATACGACGAATCTGAATCACGATTGGGCCGTCTTGGTTTATCGGAAACGCAGCGCAGACCAAACCACGCAAGCTAACAACAAATAAACAAAGCACTGCAACATGCACAATCAACGTAAAGTGACACAACGCACACAGAAGCACACACGCACACCACACTACAAGAACACACTGCAACACACCACAGTATCTACCCCGTATCTACCCCGTATCTACCCCGTATCTACCCCGTATCTACCCCGTATCTACCCCGCATCTACCATGCACATACATTTACCTACCCAGACGGCAGGGCGGGGCGCGTCCGAGCTGATCCTCCGCCCATCCCCTTCCTCCTCCCTCCTTCTCCTCCTCCTCATCCGCCTCCTCCTCCTCCTCGTCCTCCTCCTCCTCCTCCCCCTCCTCCTCCTCCTCCTCCCCCTCCTCCTCCTCCTCCGCCTCCTCCCCCCCTCCTCCTATCTTGGGCCCAAGATTGGCCTGGCCAAGATCGGTGCTGTTGGGGGCGTGCGTGACGCGCTCTGGAATGCGGGGGTGCAACAATGCAGTGCGATGACGGCATCCCCCAAGCGCCCTCTCACCTCCTCTTTGTTTTTTTTTGTCCGTAGCCGAGCGGCTCAAGGATGTTGTCGGCGGCAGCGTTCCAAGATGATCTCACTGGTCTTCTCGGCCCATTCGTGCTCCCAGATGGCGGCACCGTGACTGCCGAGGACCAAGCTGAGATACAGCGCCTCACGGGATGTAAAGCATCAGTGCGAGAACGTAGTCGGCAACATCCTGGCAAGCGGCTCTTGACAGTCCACGGGCCACCAGAGTGGTTGAGGTACGCTTACTACCTGGCGCTGACGAAGGTCGAGGCCAACGGCGAGCACGGCGGGAGAAGGTCGAGGCCAACGGCGAGCACGGCGTCGGCAACGCTGTTGAGGCCGCCTCCAGGTCTTGGGCACGAGTCTGGCGCAGCCGCTGGCAACCCGACCGAGATGCAGAAGGCTCGGGCCGAACCGCCGCACTGGGACACGTGGGAGCACGGGATCGCCATGGGCGAAGTCGACGGCACCACCGAGGCGGCGCGCCGTGAGAGCGCGTGAGCCGTGCCGCACAGAGTTTCAAAACATATGAACGGGGAGGGAGGGAGGGACTGAGGAAAGGGGAGCGGGGCTAGCACAACAGAAAAGCATACAGACAGATCAGAAAATTACACCAGAAAAAGAGCCCAACGGGAAACACCGAGCAGACAGACCACACCAAACAGAAATCTAGCAAACTGGCAATGCACCTGCTCGTCGGGATATCCCCTATGTCCTAACACAACAGCAACTTGAAAAACAAGGAACTCCTCAACGTCACTCCTCCCCCTCCTCCTCCTCCTCCCCCCCCTCCTCCACCCCCTCCTCCCCCCCTCCTCCTCCTTCTCCTCCTCCTCCTCCTCCTCCTCCGCCTCCGCCTCCTCTTCCCCTAAACCGACCCCTTTCGTCCCAAAGTGGTCGGTTTCCGTCTTCCCTAGTTCGAGGTGTGCTCGTGATTCGCTTGCACGCTCTCTGCATTGCTCCCATTGCTCCCCTCCTCCTCCTCCTCCTCCTCCTCCTCCTCCTCCTCTTCCTCCTCCTCCTCCTCCGCCTCATCCTCCTCCTCCTCCTCCTCCTCCTCCTCCCCCTCCTCCTCCCCATCCTCCTCCTCCTCATCATCCTCCTCCTATCCTCGCCCTATCCTCACCTCCTCTCCTGCAATCCCATCCTCTCCTCCCGTCGTCTCCCCCCATCTTCTGTTCGTTTCATCGCGCGCGCCTACGCAGTTGCAGTGTAGGCCCGAGCGATGTTGTGCACATGTTTGTATGAAACGACCTGCTTCTCACGATATACGCGTTTCTTCGAGGGCTCGGGCTGAGCAGTTAGTTCGGGATGGGCTTGCCGAGTCGGTCGAGTCTGCACGGTGGGACATCAGGCGGGACTTGGGTCAGCGAGTCGACATTCGGACGCCAGTCGGGCCAGTGAAATCGCACATGCCTTTAGAATGTACCGATGGTTCTGAGTACCTTGCTTTAGTATTGCACCCGTGCGCCTTGCTGTACCACTTATGCGATACGAATGCAGCTTTCGCAACATTCTTGCACGCGCAGTTTCAAGCTCGCAGCTCTGACTCGTCTGTTGTAATTTACACGGATGAGTGTACGACTGGGAACGCGTACAGGCACGACCACGCGACCAAGTACCAGTGCATATATTGGACATTTTCGTTCTTCCCTGATTGGTATCGCAGCAGGGCTTGTGGCTGGTTCACATATGCGTTTATCCCCGTTGCCCGACAGGTAGAACTAAAAGATGGTCTCGCCCAGATTGGTAAATTGATTA